AAGACAGGAGGGGACAGAGGCTAGGCACAAAAAGGGGTTGTGTGTCTCTGACCACCTGTCTCTGTGTGCCAGAGCCAGTTTTTAAAAAATCTATGTTGTATTCTTTTCTTCTAATAAAGTAACTAATCAAAAACTCACCATACATTAATTGATTTTATTAAAATATTTGATCTGACTTCCTTAAATCCATGATTTAACATTTGAATATAGACTTATTTTGCCATTTCTGAAAACACTAAGAAGGGATTGCCACTTTCTTAGTATACCTCAAAGTTAATATAATTCCTGTAAAAATTTCAGGGCTACTGTGATTCTGGGATATATTTACTCTGAGTCTCTCTGTGAGCAATTGTGTTATTTTGGTATGCAGAGTTTGCTTCTTATTCTCGTCACTAATAATGCAGAGAAAAGCAGATGGGCATATCCTTCATTCAAAACAATGATCTTATAAATATTATTTTCAGTGCCACTTTCCTGAAGTTAAAGTAACCAACTGTCCTGGTTTGCCTAAGACTCAAGGGTTTCCTAGAATGCAGGCCTTTCAGGCTAAAATTAGGTAGACCCAAGCAAACCAATGGTTCCTTACTCTACTAGAGAGTGCAGTTTAGCAAAAAAAGATTTCTGCTCTTAGTCTCTGACCTGCGCTCCAGACATATGCAAATGCATTTTTATTGTTTGTGAAAATAATGTAAACAAAGAAATCATGTCTAAAAAAAGACTATACACTCATATGCTAACAACATTTGTCTTTGGGTAGTAGGACTATGTGTAATTTTTTTCACTTTTTTTTTCTGTAATTTTCAAACTTCCGGTAGTGAACATTTTTGTACTGGTAAAATAAAAAGGTTTAGTTTTTAAATTTATGACAAATAAAAATAGGTATCTAAATACTACCTATGTCAAAGTTAGTTGTCTATCCCATTTATAGCAAATATCCTGATATATGCTTTCCAGAGGCAAGAGAAAAGGCTCCACTCTGACTTTTGGGTAGATTTTTAAAGAAACGATCATTTTTTCATATCAAGGTGACACCAGCTGAATATTCCTAAGAAAAGAAACTGATGAAATGACCTGGCTTTACCCCTGCCAGGCCGCAATGTACTCTTCAGACAAACAGATGGGTGCTTGCCACTGACCTTTTTCGGAGAAGGGGCTGATCCAGGGGGCCAGGAGATCTGGAGTGCTGGGAGGTAGAAAATGAAGCTTTCCCATGGAAACTGGCAACCCCTTGTTTACTGGGTGAGGGCTTTCCAAATTTACTTGAATCTAAACGTGATGTTGACTCGCTCCTTAAAACAATCCGTTCATCTGGCTCTTTAATAATCTGAGTGACAACGCACATTATTTAGTGGTAATTTTGCTTCTGTTTGCTTAATTTAGAGCTGGGGATGGGGTTGGACAAGGAAGACAACTAGGGCTAAGATGACAGAATATTGGCCCAGGAATGTCCTGCAAATAGAAGAGGGTCTGGAGCAGAGAAGACTAGCAACAAAATGCTCAGGAGTTAAGACTAAAGAAAAATAACCAAAAGTCTGTATGTTTGAGATATATTAATAAACCAAAATAAACTCATGCTCTGAACTTTGATTTCTGGGGACTAGGGATTATTGGATCTGGGAAGAATATAATTTTAACAAAATATTTAAGCACTATGGCTTAAGAAATATAGTATATTCCATTTTCTTTGCGTAAATCTATTCTCATGTTGTGTCACAGAAATTTGAAGCTTCACTTTGACAAACCAATCAAGCTTCAAGAACAAGCGATTTGCCACCTCTATGTATAAAGGTATTTGATTAGAGAAAAAGCAATGAAAATAACTATCAATAAAGTAGGTATTGGGTATAGACACACGCTCCTTGGTGATTCATCCTACTTATATAAGGGACACAAACCAACTAACCCCAAAACAAAGTATAACATGGCGTCTGGACACATCTGCATGTAAACACTAAACTATTGCAATTCCACCTAAGCAGACTAACTAGAAATATCCACCACTGATTGGAAAAAGCACAATAATTGATATAAGATAGCTGGAAGTAAATCATTTTACAAATTCTACTTCTAAAATTACCTTTATGTTAGCTGCAAGGCTGTCAAGAGAAGAAGCTACAAGAAAGAGGAACAGGTGTTTCAATGACTCATTAATACCATTTCACTTTAAAACTGCCATTATATGTATTCTACAGCAGTACAAAAATTTTAGACAATGAATGAATGATTTAAAAACTTAAATGTTCCCTTGTAAATTACACTATCACTTTTAAGTCTCCCTTGAGAGGTCAACAATGAGGTTTTATTTTCAATGACAGCATACATGGAAGGGGGAAGGGTAAAGCAAGTCTAAAGTGAATGTGGAAGTTCAATAAATAACTCTTAAGCAGCCTGAAAAACTCATATTTGAGCAGGTGCCCAAAACCTGAAAGAAAGTACTGTGGTCTAATATAAAATTTATAAACTCTTGCCTCCCCTGCCATTATCTTTGGGTTTCATGGAATCCCATTTATGCAGGAGCTCTTGAATATATTTGTCCAAGATGGACACAAATGTTAAATTGAGACAACAAATATGTAACAGCTTGGAGAAACATAGAACATAGCAAAAACGGAAATCATTATGATGACCCTCAATGATCATGATAGGTAAGTAGACCTAATGCTTGAGTACACTAAGGCTGACTAGGAAATTAAGCATGAAATACATATAGGGAAAGTGAAGACTAGGTTGGACTTTTCCAGGTTGATTTAAAAATGTTTTTAAAATGAGTATTTGTAAGGCAATGCTAAGGTCACCATGGCTTCCCCCAATGTGACCGGGACTCAGGCAATGACAAGGGACTTTTTCTGCACTGCTGATTCCCCTCCCCATGTCACTGGTAGATATAAAATGAGATTTTTTTGAAAGTCTGACCATTTTCATATCCTTTGGGTATACACATATGTATGTGCCACCTTGTCCCAGGAACTCTCTTCTCTCCCACCCCCAGCTAGGGCAGAGAGTTAGCAATGCTAAGGCCCTTTCAGCAATAGCCACAAACCTGCCCTGTGGCCTCACAACCTCCTTCCTTCTGGTTTTGAGCCCTTCCTTTCACAGAGGGAGCTTGCCTTCCTTCCCTTGCTTCTCAAAGTGCAGTCCATGGATTAGCAGCATCCGTATCACCTGGAAGCTTGTTAGAAAAGGAGAATCCTAAGCTCCACACCAGCCCTACTGAATCAGAATCTGCAGTTTAACAAGAGCCCCAGGTGATTCAAATGCACATTCAAGTTTGAGAAACACTTCTGTATGCTACCTTAGGCCTGGATGAATGAGCTGACAAGTGACCTAAGCAAAGGTCTGGCTTGAAAGCTACAGGGATTCCAAGGATCTGAACCCAGAGGTTTGAATGTCTTCTCTAAATGTAGGTAGGCCAAAAACTTGATGTGTGACCTTTACACACTCTGTAACCTCTCTGGAACCTTAGTTTTTTCCACCTGCCAGGATTAAGAAAAGACAAAGGCCGAGACCATTGTGATATGTGAGTCCCATCACAATAGAGCCTGCATTAAACCCAGCTTGTCCTCCCTAGGAAAGGACATTTGCTGTTGCCTGATTTCTCTGCAGTAGGGAAAACAATGCTGCTTTATAAGCTACACAGGTGATTTTCAATTCAAAGAACTTAAATGCCATAGGTAATGAAGCACTTTCTGCTTCAAACCCTATACTCTGTCCTTGGCCAGCTGCTGTCAAACAGACACCACAGTCTAAGAACACTAGCTTAAGTCACCATAAGAGACTTAAAAGTAGCCCCTTAAAAGACTTTTAAGTCTAAGATAAGAAATTCTACTGTCAGGGATGGCAATAGATGGAAAATCCAGTACAACTAGCAGGCAAACGAATGGACCGCCACCATTCCTTTCCGGCCTGAGAATTTTGATTAAGTTCAGGAATGGCTGATCTTCACTGACATGACCTTCACTACTGACATGATTCATGGATTTCAGTCAAAAGCCTACAAGGGATTCCTTAATCCAGTGACTCTCAATGTGTAGTCCAGGGATCTCCTCCAGGGGTTCCCAAGACCTATCATGAGATCTGCAAGGTCAAACTCTTTTCATAATAATACTAAGACATGATTTGCTGCTTTCATTCTTATTCTCTCATGACTGTACAATGGAGTTTTCCAAAAGCTACAATGATGTCATGGCATCACCATTTGGATGGCTAATGGAATGTGTGCTACTCTATTCTTGTATTTTAAAAATTTATCAGTTTTAGCCAGGCGCAGTGGCTCATGCCTGTAATCCTAGCATTTGGGAAGGCTGAGGCAGGCAGATCACAAGTTCAGGAGTTCAAGACCAGCCTGGCCAATATGGTGAAACTCCATCTCTACTAAAAATACAAAAACAACTAGCTGGGCCTGGTGGCATGTGCCCGCAGTCCCAGCTATTTGGGAGGCTGAGTCAGGAGAACTGCTTGAACCCAGGAGGCGGAGGTTGCAGTGAGCAGAGATTATGCCACTGCATTCCAGCCTGGGCAATAGAGGGAGACTCTGTCTCAAAAAAAAAAATTTATCAGTTTTAATTTCTAACATGCTAAATACTGATATTATCCACATCAGGAAAAGCTCTTTGGGCTCCTCAAGAATATTTAAGCATCCAAAAGGGCCTGAAATCTAAAGGGTTGAGAACACCCTGCCTTCATCTAACTGCTTCAGATACAGCTGGCTTCCCACCTCCCTCACATGAAATCTTCTAAAGCAAATATTACATCGCCTGTTCACCATCAATATCCTGTTTTTCTCCACCAAGAAAAATTGAAAACCTTATTTATTAGGCATTAATGGTGACTTTGCAAGGAGTTCGCAGCAGGACAAGTTGTACTCTGCTTTCCCAGCCCAGCCAGGGAACAACTGCAACCACAGCTCACTCAGCACGCCTCTCAGAACCATCCCCTCCAACGGTAAGGGGAACTCAGACAGAAGCTTCTCAGCTGACTGTGCTTTGTGAGAATACTGCCCTGGAAATTCCACAACTGGCAAGTACTTGAGAATTAGGTCCAAAGTTCCCAACTTAACCTGTGATTCCTCAGAATGAAAGATTATACATAGGACACATTTGTGGCCATAGGGAAATGTACAGGAGTAACAAGAAACTCGAGTACCTCTTCTCATTGGGAACGGAAAGTCTGAAAACTTAGATTTTCTTCTAGACCTCCTCAAATGATGCTCTGAAATATTCTCACCAAAGGGCTTTGCACTGTCCACCTGAAAGTAAAGGAAAGAAGTAAGACTAGAATCCACTGTAGCTTCTAGAGCCCTCCCCTCATTACTGGTAATGACTGTCTCCCCTTCAATCACACAATTGTAAAGAGAAGGCTAGAGAACCATCTACATCAAAGTCTCCAAGTGTGTTACATGTTATGCCTAAAAGGAGAAACTGTCCTTCACTGAGGCTAGAACATTGAGGACATGGGCTAAACACTAGCATAAAAATCTAAAGTTAGACCCACATTATATTCCAACAACTGGTAAGCATCCCACACAGAAAGAGATCAAGTGAAGCTTTATTTCACAATCTCGTAAAATATGATGGCGTTTCACATTCCTTAAACACTATGAGTAGTGCTGGCCTAAGTGGGGTCCTCACTGACAGCAAGGGATTCCCATAAGATGACATTTCTACTTTCCACATTCGTTTCTGGTCTGAGTGTCTTCAATCTTGAAAAAAGAATAATGATAACTATATTATTTTACCTATAGTGACTGACCATATTTTCCTAAAGAAAAATTGGGTAACATGATCTGCAAACAGGTCAAAATACTAGAACTAGGGACTCTTCTAAAATATCTTCAATACAGAGTTGCTGAATTTTTTTTACTTTGTTTACTTCCGTGTTTTTAAATTTTAATAAGGCAGGTTATAATGTTACTTTTCATTCTACTTTAATATACTGACTTGAATTTACAGTCTTTACAACATCAGGTTTTCTAAATTTTAATGCCTCTACTTAAGGAAATATCACATATCAGAAAATCTAACTAAATAAAAAATTATGTAAAATCATTAATAAAAGAGCTTGGCACATAGGAAAAGCTGTATAAGAATTTGTCAAATTAAATAGTATTAAGCAAGTTTTAATCCCTTAAGAAATCTACCAAGATTTTAAGTTTACTTAGTTCATAATGGCATGGACTGAAGTTGTATTTTATAATAATTTGCATCAAATCAAGTAAATCAGATTTATTTTCAATAAAATGAAATAAATGAACTCAATTAGATATTTTATGGTGCCATGTTTAAAGATTGGTCGTTAGATTTTTAGCCAGATGTCATCACCCAGGCCTCCAAGAAGACAATAGCTGTTGTATATTTTTTGTAGGTAGCTGTTCAGCAGTTTCTAGCCAAACAGCTCTGTTCTACCTACAAACCAACTCTACATACAGTCATCTCAACAGCACCTTCACTTCAAGACTTACTACACTTCACAGTCTCTGTCTAATACACAAACATTAACAGGGGTGGCTTTAAATCAAAATAGCAATGTAATGATACTATCAATAGTTAACATTCTGGAGAATAAGTCATTAAATAGAACATGAAATTGTGTTCATGTAGACTATGAAATAATACAGAAAATTTTTAATATAATGTTAATTGGAATATATAGGAAAACTAATTTATACATACAGTAAAATTACAACTTTGTGGAAAAAATAAAGCCTATGAATGCAAAAATAAGGCAGAGAAATTGCGTCAAATTAAATCAAACAATGATTTTATTATACTGGTGAGCCAATGGATAATTTTTTTCTTGAACTTTTCTATGTTTTCCATTACGTTTATAGTAGCAAAAAATTTGTAGGCTTGGTGCAGTGGCTCATGCTGTAATCCCAGTACTTGGGGAGACTGAGGCAGGTGGATCATTTGAGGTCAGGAGTTCGAGACCAGCCTGACCAACATGGTGAAACCTCATCTCTACTAAAAATACAAAAATTAGCCGGGTATGGTGGTGGGCACCTATAATCCCAACTACTCAGGAGGCTGAGGCAGGAGAGTCACTTGAACCCAAAAGGCAGAGGTTGCAGTGAGCTGAGATCATGTCACTGCACTCTAGCCTGGGTGACAGAGAAAGACTCCATCTCAAAAAAAAAAAAAAAAAATTGTAAAGAGACTAAGAGAACTAGTGTGATTAAATTTGTCCACTACCTGAGGGCAAAATCTAAGATGACTTTAATTAAGGGCTTTGAATATGCCAAAACATTGCTTCTTCCTGCAAACAAACTTTTCTGGCTTTTCAAAGTATGGCCACTGAGCACCAATCTCATTAAGAAAATTCAGGAGACTAAGTCAGGGGAGTTGCTTGAACCTGGGCAGTGGAGGATGCCATGAGCCGAGATCATGCCACTGCACTACAGCCTAGGCAACAGAGCAAGACTCCTTCTCAAAAATAGAGAGAGAGAACTCCTTCTCAAAAAAAAAAAAAAAAGAAAGAAAGAAAAAGAAAGAAAACTCTGGTAGTTTTCTCTAAAACTGATGAAGCTTTAGTTTTGGATTGATACAGAGTGCATGCCAACCTTTGCTATGTGTCTTCAACCTCTGTCAGTTCATTGACTCTTCAGGATAATGGCAAGTTATCATTATACTCTGTTAATAATTTTCAAAAATTAAAAATAGGGATGGCTGACATTTACTGAGCAAATCCCCTGTAAAGGTACCTTTCTAGGAGTTTCCTGACAATGATCTAGGAAATTAACATAATTTAATCACAATTATTATTCAATTTGAAGTCCCTTTTTATTTAATATTACTCATTTGTTTTTATAGCTCAATCTTCCTTTTTCCCACTCTCATCCACATCCTCACTATTGCAAAGTACTCTAAAAAATAATTTTAGGCTCACATGTCTAACAACGAATGGAGGCTTGCTTCCTCCAAAGATTTTGAAATTATTTCCAAGGTTCAACTGAGCTGGCTGGTCCTGGAAGAAATGCCTGGTAGAATATGGAGAGGGAGCCCGGGCTTGCATGCCTTTGGGCAGTCTATTGAGATTATTCTCCTTTGGTTTCATCTTTATAGTATTTAATATTGGTTCATGTGATGTAAATAAAGGCCTTCGTGACTCATGTCTTTCTTCCTGAAATAAACAAACAAAAAAGAATATTTTTTAAAATAAACAAAGAAAAGAAGAAAATTCTATCAGAATATAACTGTATTTAATTGAACTTTTACAAATTAAGGTAGAAAACTGGACATCTCAGATATATAAAACATAAATTTAAGGAAGGACATTTATCTAATTTTTGTTCCTGTTCAGTTTAACATCAGTAGTATTTATAACTTGCTAGTATAATGTATTCAACTAATTAACAGTTAGCTTCATTTATAATAGGGGAAAGTTAGAAAGTGTCAGACACCTCCAATAGATGATAAAGAATTTGACACACACTGGGGTCTGGCAATTTCACTTCCAGGAATGTATTATAAGGAAATAACTATGGCTATATGTATATCTACAAAAATGCTTATGATAGTTTAAAAGTTAGAAATCAACTGTATTAGTGAGTAAGCAATTGCGCTCACTTGCAAATCCACCTCGGCTATATGAGACTGGTCCAGGGACTCTACAAACCCTCTTTTTGCTTTTCCAGCTGGTCTCTTTAGCCTCTGCCACTAGAGGGTGCTAGAGAAAGTGCAAGGCTGGAGGAGCTATGGTGACTGGCTACTTTCAGTTTTGCATTCTATTCCTGTTAGCATCATTCCAGCAACCATTGTTCGCCTGGACAGCTACAAATGGCTCCACATTACAGCCTTTCCCCTATTATGCCAGAACTAGCCTCATTGCACCCCCTCAGATATACCAGCAGCAGCTGGCCAAAGCCCCATATTCAGATTTGCATTTAGCATCACAGAAACCTTCCTCCAAGCTCCTGTGGCACCAGCAGTGAGCAGTGACCCTCCTTAGAGATCTGAGTCGCAGCTCATCAGAGTCCCCCCTTTGAATTCCTGAAGAAGCATCCAGGAAAACAGCCCCTCTTCAGAGGTCTGGGTCCCATTTCTGCAGTCTCTTCTTTAAGCTTCTGTGTTCTTCCTGAACCAACATCTTTCCTTTGTCTTCCCAGCCCTAAAGGTGGAAGCTGCTTCCTGCAATTACTCTGTCATTTCAGCGTTCCCCTTTTAGCTTTCAGTCTTCCAACCCGTTTAGCCATTTTTTTCCTTTTTCTTTGAGACATTCTTACTCTGTTCCCAGACTAGAGTGCAGTGGTGCGATCTCGGCTCACTGCAACCTCCTGCTTCCCTGGTTCAAGTGATTCTCCTGCCTCAGCCTCCTAAGTAGCTGGGATTACAGGCACTCACCACCACGCCCAGATAATTTTTATATTTTTAGTAGAGACGAGGTTTCACCATGTTGGCCAGGATGGTCTTGATCTCCTAACCTCGTGATCACCCACTTCGGCCTCCCAAAGTGCTGAGATTACAGGCATGAGCCTCTGCGCCCCACCAGCAATTTTAAAAAATTAAACCTTTCTGTTACAATCACAAGTTTGGTATGGCTTCCTGACTGGACCCTTACTGATATATTGATTAAGTGCTCAACAAAAGGAAAAGAGCGGCCAAACAGATTATAGTATTTCCATATGGAATACTAGGAAGCCACAAAAAATTGTCTGGCATAAGAATACTTGGGACAAGAGAAAATGTTCATGATAAATTAAATGAAAAAAGAAGGGTACATTCCAAAGCAACGATGTCTTAGGGAAAAAAGAAAAAAGAAGGGTACAAAATAATATGCACTGCATCGTGATCTCAATCTTTTATAAAAGTATGTATGTGTATACAGAATATACCAAAAAACATTAATGCTGATCTCTAAATGGCAAGAATGAGACAGGTTTTTTAAATTTTTGGCCCTTTTTGCTTATTTATCTTTGTTTTCTAATTTTCTAAAATAAAGTGATATTTTGTTTTAAGAAAAAAACAGACTGAATGTGGTAGCTCATGTCTGTAATCCCAATACTTTGGGAGGCTGAAGCAGAGGATCTCTTGAGGTCAGGAGTTCAAGAAAAAAAAAAACCTATTTGTTTAAAAAGTTAACACTGAAAGGAAGACCTATACTAGGAATAGAATTTAAATGGTAGAATGGAAGAGAAACACTGAACAACTGCTATAAACACATCACAAATAAATTGGTGAGAAGACAGAATAAATAAGGATAAACCAAAAGCAGATAATGCTTTCCTTAAAATTAATCATTGGTCTCCCATTATATGAGTTATTATGCTAAGAGGATTGATAGATTTGTACAGATTATTGGCTCTTCTCATTCAATATTCCTTAACACACAGCCCACATTTTCAAGGTCTTTTCTATGACCATACATGGGATCTGGGATAAGCATTTTGTTTCACTTACAGGCTTTACTTTACCCTGTCCCAAAGTTTCACACACTACCTTTATTTCTTCTCCATCTTGTCTAGAAAGTATTTTAAATGGCAACAACATTGTAAACAATAAGGTAAAAGCAAAACAGAAAGAAATTGGGGTGAGGGGACACCAGGACTGAAGAAGACAGTAAAATTGAGGTAGTACACATGGATGCCCTAAGACCCATCATGCTTACCAAAGATGGACCACGAATACAACTCTGAGTGTCTGCCTCAGCAAAAGAAAGATGGCCCCGGCGGGGCAAAGACTGTAGCCAAGAGGAAGAACTGGCAAGAGCTCACTCCGTCCGCACAGGGTAAACTCGCGCGTGCGCACTGGCCTTTGGCCAAGCAAGCTCTGTGGCTTTTGCCCTGGATGCTCATCGTTTTCCGGGCTCTGACGCCAGATCCATACTATTCTGTAAACTGAGGCGGTGATGCCCAAAAAATGGAAGCAATTACTCTAGGGTATCAAAAGACTGAAGCAAGCAATAAAACCTTTGCGCGGAGAGAAGGGAGACACAGCACGTGTGCGCAGCACCGCCCTCTTTTGGCGAAGCACCTAGGCCTGGCCCCTCTGGCGACCTGTAGCGCGGCGGAGCAAGCACAGAAGGTTAGGCGGTTTGCAGTCGCCATGGAGCCCAACGGGACCTACGAGCTGGGGTTCGTGGGTATTCGCTTCTGCCAGGAATGTAAAAACATGCTATACCCCAAGGAAGACAAGGAGAACCGCATTCTGCTCTATGCGTGCCGGAACTGTGATTACCAGCAGGAGGCTGACAACAGCTGCATCTGTGTCAACAAGATCACGCACGAAGAGGACGAACTGACCCAGATTATCGCCGACGTGTCCCAGGACCCCACGTTGCCGCAGACCGAGGACCACCCGTGCCAGAAGTGTGGCCACAAGGAGGCTGTGTTCTTCCAGTCACACAGTGCCCGGGCTGAGGACGCCATGCGTCTGTACTACGGGTGCACGGCCCCACACTGCGGCCACCACTGGACCGAGTGACCTCACCTCTCCCCCAGTGTAATTAACACCAGAGTCCATGTGGAAAAAAAAAAAAGATGGCCCCATGTTTACTGCAGCATTATTCACAATAGCCAAGATTTGAAATCAACCTAAGTGTCCATCAACAGACGAATGGATAAAGGAAATATATATACACAATGGAGTACTATTCAGCCACAAAAAAGAATGAGATCTTGTCTTGTAACAACATGGATGGAAGTTGAGGTCATTATATCAAGTGAAATAAGCCAGGCACAGAAAGACAAACATCACATGTTCTCACTTATTTGCGGGAGCTAAACATTAAAACAACTGAACTCATGGAGACAGAGAGTAGAATGAGAGTTACCAGAGGATGGGAAGGGTAGTTAGTCGGGGGTGGGGAAGATGGTTAATGAGTACAAAAAAAAATAGACTGAATAAGATCTAGTATTTGATAGCACAACATGGACTATAGTCAATAGTAATTTAATTGTAAATTTTAAAGTAACTAAAATAATATAATTGATTTGTTTGTAACTCAAATGATAAATGTTTTAGGTGATGGATACCCCATTTACTTTGATGTGATTATTACACACTGTATGCCTATATCAAAATATCTCATGTATGCCATAAATATACACAGGTACTATATATCCATAAAAAATTAAAATTTCTGGCCAAGTGCAGTGGCTCATGTCTGTAATCCCAGCACTTTAGGAGGCAGAAGTGGGCAGATCACAAGGTCAAGCCACGGTGAAACCCCATCTCTACTAAAAATACAAAAATTAACTGGGCATGGTGGCGCCCGCCTGTAGTCCCAGCTACTCGGGAGGCTGAGGCAGGAGAATCGCTTGAACATGGGAAGTGGAGGTTGCAGTGAGCCAAGATCGGGCAACTACACTCCAGCCTGGCAACAGAGTGAGACTTGAGACTCCGTCTCAAAAAAGAAAAAAAAAAAATTTTTTTAATTTAAAATTTTTATTTTATTTATTTATTGTTTTTTGTTTTTTTATACGGGGTCTCACTCTGTAACCCAGGCTGAAGTACAGTGGAACCATCTCAGCTCACTGCAGCCTTGACATTCTGGGCTCAAGTGATTCTCCTAGGTAAGCCTCCCAAGTAGCTGAGGCTACAGGTGCATGCCACCAAGCCCAGCTAATTTTTGTATTTTTGGTAGAGATGGGGTTTCACCATGTTGCCCAGGCTCTTCTGTAACTCCTGACCTCAAGTGATCCACCCGCCTCGGACTCCCAAAGTGCTGAGATTACAGGCGTGAGCTACCATGCCCAGCCTAAAATTTTTTAATTTTTAAAAAAGAAAGATGGAACCTATTGTTCATAAGATCAAAAGTCGGCCGGGCTCAGTGGCTCACACCTGTAATACCAGCACTTTGAGAGGCCGAAGCGGGCGGATCACGAGGTCAGGACTTTGAGTGAGACCAGCCTGGCCAACATGGTGAAACCCGTCTCTACTAAAAATACAAACATTAGTGGCGCGTGGTGGCAGGCGCCTGATGGCCCAGCTACTCCGGAAGCTGAGGCAGGAGAATCCCTTGAAACCAGAGGGTGGAAGTTGCAGTGAGCGGAGAACGCGCCATTGCACTCCAGCCTGGGCGAAAGGGCGAAATTCCGTCTCAAGAAAAAACAACAACAAAAAAGTAAAAGTCATAGAACAACAACAAAAGCCAAGTAGCTGAGTTGTGATTTTAGCTTCGGAATCACCCTGCCTCCAGCTATATCATGCTACCAAACATATGTGCCAAACATACTCTAATATGACTGGCTGAGCAAACAGTTTGAATTACAGAAATTTAAACCTGCTAAAAACTTTCCAGGTTTCTTCTTGTTTAGTTTTATGTAAACTTGATAACTGAGTTTGGGCAAAAATTCTTTAAATTTGAAAAAAAAAAAAAATCTGGTCATTTCTATCACTAGATTTTTTATTGTACTTACAAGAAATCTGTTTCTGTGCAGAAACACACATTCTCTGATGGCTGTCCTTGTAGAAAACTCTATTTTGGGAGCAATGCCCTAAAAATAAAACAGCATAAAAAAGCAAATAAAATTACTAGAAACAGTTATTTGGCCATCTCATTCTAACTTGAAATCATACAAGAATCTAACTACTCTTCTATGTGGTTGGCATAATCCACACACATTATCTAAAATATATCTGTAATAAAAATAGCTAAACACTTCTGTAATGTATATTATGGATCAGAGCCAGGCCTAAGTAATTTGTACATATTAACTCATCTACTCCTAACACAACCCCATGAGACAGGTTTTATAATAGTATCTCCTCAACTAAGACACAGTTTTAAGTAACTTGTCCATCTAGTACTAAATGCTATTAATTGAACCCAGGCATTCCAGCTCCAGTGTCCATGATGTTAGCTACTCTATTTAAAACACAGGAGCATGGAATTAAATGAGATTACCTAGGGAGAGGTGTGAATAGAGAGTCTTCCTCTTTACCTACCTGCTGTGAAAAACTTGCTTTATAGCTCATATCAGATACTTATATTTATTAAATCTAATTCCAAATTCATTTTGTTTCATTGATTTGATACTTCTATTTTTGTCCTCAGTACCATATTGTGTTTTATATACATACATATATATATATATATATATATATGCCCTATCCTGTTTGGTTCTTATAATCCTATAAGGTAGGCACAATTATTATAATCATCGTATTTTGTAGATGACAAAACTGAAAAATGGCCAAAAACTAGAAACAATCCAATTGTCCTTCATGGGTGAATAGATGAACTGTGGTGATTTACGTAATGGAAGCTACTTGGCAATAACAAGGAACAAATGACTGACACACAGAACTACATGGATGGATCTCAATAGCATTCTTCTAAGTAAGAAAAGCCAGTCACAAAAGGTTACAGGCTGTATGATTCCATTTATGTGACATTCTCAAAAAAACAAAACTACGGTGATGGAGAAAAGACTAGTACTTAGGGTCGGGGAAGGGTGTGCCTATAAAGGGGTAACATGAGGGGCATTTTAGGAGTGACGGGATTGTTTTATATCCTTATCATAGCAGTAGCTTTACGAATCTATACATAAATTAAAATTTATAGAACTGTAGACCAAAAAAGCATCAATTTGTTGTACAATAATTTGTAAAATACAATTGCTTTCCCCCAAAAAACGAGGCTTAAAGAGACATTAAAGCAACTTTCTGAAATGTACAAGGCTTATAAATGTCACCACAGGGACAGGACCAGGATCTGACTAAATTACACTGTCTCCATCTGACCCCATCAACTCACCTGTGGCCCCTCTTCATGACCTCTCTGCTCTACTCTCCCCTAGAAAACACCACTTGGTCAAGTTACCTCTTGCCCCGGGGCGCCTTCCTTCTCTTCTTTTCCATCCAAATTTTGCCCATCTCTCAATGTCTGGTCTCACTCTAATTCCTCCAAGTAAGCCCATAGTAGTCTCTCCCTCCAGCCTCTAATATTTCATTTCATTTATAAAACTTATAGTCAAGGTGCTTCCAAAAAGGGTTTACCCCAGCTAAAGCCCTCGAAGGAAAAGAAGTCGAATTGGATACTTATTACATGTGCTATTAAGGATTTCCAGAGGCATAATCTCATCTAATCCTCATATAACCTGTGTAGTAGACTACTGTATCCCCATTTAACACAGGAGAGAACAGGCTTGGAGAGGTTTAATAGTATGCCCAATGTCACTCAGGTGGGCAGAGCAGGATCTGACACTCTGCTGAACTGCAAAACTACCTTCTTTCCATTTCCCCATGCTACCTCTCGAGGGGCCTTGTGAATCAGCTAGTCAGCTTGTTTCCTGTGCATTCATTCATTCATGTGTACCTAGCCTGTCTATACAAGTCCTTACAGGTACAACCTACATCTTTAACTCCTTTTTATTTTGCCTGTAGAATGCAGAGTATGCACACAAGAGTGCAAAGCCTGGATGGCAATTCAAAGAAACATTTTTGGGCATATAAACACAGGGGCCAAGATGCTACACAGACTCAGACAATGCAAAGGGACATTTGATAAAGAATATACAATAATATGACTAGCATAGCCTCATCTCCTGTTAATGAGATAGCGCAGATGAAGAAGGCAGGGAGAGTTCCAGTGTCCACAGTGCTACTGGTAGAATCACAAGACACTCACACGTGTGATTGCTTGAACAATCAAGTTCCAGGTCCCCGATAGCCCAGTGGCCTGAGCCCGAAAACATCATCTCTCATGCCACAGACTTGTGCAATCTTCTCATTGCCTCACAGGGAGACAGTATTAACTCTTGGATGATGGCACAATAAATAATAACAACTTATATTTATTGTACACTTAACTATCAGGTATTGTGCTAAATACTATATATTACCTCATCTAACACAATAATCCTATAAGTGATATACTATTACAGTCCCATTTTACAGATGAGTAAACTAAGGCACACAGAGATTAATTTATCCAAAGTCTCACAGCCGTTCATGACAAAACTGGGAATGAACCCAGACAATCTGATTCCACACTTAACCACTATACATGCAGCTGCCTAACAGATTCCTGATCCACTTTGCCTAGAGAGGAGGAAGGAAGTCCCCTGCTGGTAAGGAATGCACACTCTGTAACACATTTTTTGTTTATCTTATTTGACCTCCACTCCTTGCAATGACTTACTGACAATAAAGAATAATGTATTTTCTTTTTCATACAGTGCTGCTTTTAGCATAACATTATAGTTTAGAGTTAAAATTCAGAGACTATATCTTGTCCACTCTCCTTACCAATGGAATGATGGTGATAATGATTAGGTCAATGAAATGATTTAACAGTAGAATTTTTCTAGAATCATTCCACCAAAAAAAATAAAGAATAATCTTTTTAAAATGCTTTTTCTGCTCACCTTACAAAGTGAATGTTAACCTAATATGATAATAGATAATTGTGCAATCTTCTCACTGCCTCATAGGGAGACAGTATTATTATCTTTTACTATCATTTACCTAATAGATGAGATAATAGTATTATCTATTCTCTAATAGATGAGACTAGATACCATTGCAAAAATAAAAAATAAAAAAATTGACCTCACCAGGAGATAAAAAAATACTGTTAAAGTATCAGTGAAATAAAACAACAAAATACAGAAATACAAAGAAAAAGCCACATTCTAATGGAGAAAATAAATCTAATTAATGAATTGATAAATTAGGAGAAAATAAAGTGAATGATTTGTCTCATGTACATGTAATTCATTCTTATTTCTTACAATACTAATGAAAAGAAATCAGATAGTGGGCTGAAATAAATATAAGAAAATGAGCATCTAATTCAAGGACAGGCGAAGAAAAAAAGAAAAAAGAAACAAAAATGAGCACCATTCAGTCAGTAAGAGCGCAGGCTCTGAAGCCAGACAAGCCAGCATGAAAATCCCTGTTCCATCGCTCACCAGTTCTGTGACCCTGAATACATTTCTGAAACTCTTTACACCAGCTTCCTTCTCCATTAAAGTGGAGAAAGAATAGCTGCCACCTCACAAGGTAGAGGAGAACTGAATAGGATAATCCATGTAATGAGCTCAACACAGTTCCTGGTATACAGGTAGCACACAGTGAACATCAGCTTTTTTTTTTCTTTTTTGAAACAGAGTCTCACTCTTGTCACCCAGCTGGAGTGCAGTGGCATGATCTCGGCTCATTGCAACCTCTGCCTCCTGGGTTCAAGCAATTCTCCTGCCTCAGCATCTGACTAGCTGGGATTACAGGCATCCGGCACTACGCTCAACTAGTTTTTGTATTTTTAGTAGAGATGAGGTTTCACCATGTTGGTCAGGCTGGAACATCAGCTATTCTGAAAGTGATGGCTCTTTTTTGTGGTATCTTGGAGGTAATCAGCTAATTGAAGATGAAGCTGAAGGCTGGGCATGGTAGCTCATGCTTATAACCCCAGCTCTTTGGGAGGCCAAAGCAGGGGGATCACCTGAGGTCAGGCATTTGAGACTAGCCTGGCCAACATAGTGAAATTTCGTCTCTACTAAAAATACAAAAATTAGCCAGGTGTGGTGGTGGGTACCTGTAATCCGACTATAGGAAGCTGAGGCAGGAGAATCGCTTGAACCATGGAGGTGGAGGTACAGTGAGCCAAGATGGCTCCATTGCACTGCAGCCTGGACAACAGAGCAAGACTCTATCTCAAAAAAAAAAGAAGTTGAAGCTGAATATTTCCTTTTCCAGCAACTGGCTGTGAGAAACTCATTGAAGGGGATGATGAAAGCAAACTTCATACTTTTTATGAAAAGCATATGGCCACAGAAGTTACTACTGAGATGCTCTAGGTGAAGAATGGGAGGGTTATGTGATCCAAATCAGTGGTGGGTATGACAAACATGTTTTCTCTGTAAAGCAGGGTGTCTTGACCCATGGCCATGTCCACCTGCTACTGTGTAAGGGGTATTCCTGTTATAAACCAAAGAGAATTGGAAAAAGAAAGTACAAATATGTTCAGGGTCACAATGTGGTCACCAGTCTGATCATTCTCAACTTGGTTATCATCAGAAAAGGAGAGAAGGATATTCTTGGACTGACTGACTCTATGGTGCCTTGTCACCTGGAGCCCAAAAGACCTAGCAGAAAAGACTGTACTTTTCAATCACTCTAAAAAAGATGATAGTTGACAATATATTGTAATAAAAGCCTTAAACAAAGAAGGTAAGAAATCTAGAACCAAAGCACCCAAGTTTCAGTGTCTTGTTACTCCACATGTCCTGTAACACAAACTCTGGCATATTACTCTGAAGAAACAGACTACTAAGGGAAATGAGAAAAAGGCTGCAGAATACGCTAAACTTTTGGCCAAGAGAATGAAAGAGACCAAAGAAAAATGCCAGGATAGATTGCCAACAGATGCAGGCTGCCCTCTCTGCGAGCTTTTACTTCTGAGTCCAGTCAAAAATAAAATTTTTTGAGTAACAAATAAGATCAGATCCCACCCTCCAAAAACCATTGCAATGGCAATTTATTTTATTTTGCTTTATAGAATGGTTGAGAGAAATTGAGTCCCTCTATCTTTTCACAAATTTTTTAAAATACAGCTTGATAAACTTAATTGTAAGAATACTTCTAATGCATGCAGGTATTTGTTTAAAAACCCCTTTCTCTAATGACTAACTGCATTTATAAATAACTATAAATACAACCTCCTACAGGTTATTTTTCTTATTTATGAACATAAAGTTAAACAGAGTTAACACTCAAAAAAATATAAGAAAGTTTGCTTCTTCTTATCTTGATACTTAGCTGCATGCCAGCTCAGTGTTTGTAGATGCCTTTTATTTAACAGAGAACTAGGCAAAACCAAAGTTACAATAACAAAGTATCCTCTACCTGATTCTCATCAGTTTTTATTCCCTTTCAGCTTCTAAAGAGCAATATCCCAATAACTCGAAATAAAATAATTAAAGGCAAGCTTCTCACATGTACCATGAGTTTAAATGATACACGAAGATACTGGATAAACAAAGATAGTTTCGGTGAGATTCATTAAACTCTCAAAGAAAATGAAGGGCTTGGAGTTATAGTCATTAGGAATTCTGACTAGGACAACCTTTGATGCATGTTTGCTATTTGAAGTATTAGAAGCTCTGTCATGTTAAGCTGCACAGAAACAGAGGTCCTGACTTACATTAAATATATTCTACACAGTACTCTCAACAAAGTGGAAACAATAACACTTCATCTAATTATAATGATTGCAGTTCATGAGATAATAAGAGAAAAGCTGAGTATCAAAATTTTTTATAATTCTCAAAGGTGTGGCCCTTTAAATGGAGATCATTCAAGTGATGTAAAAGTCAAGAAAATCATCAGGGTTGCTGTCGGGATAGAAATTGTCAAAGACAACATCAAAATGAATATCTTGAATTTGGGCTCAGATAATGTTCTCCTAAGAGTTAAATTATCAACAGAATATCTGCTGTATCCTTTAAGATCCCGTCAGAAATATAAATTTGTGGGCCTCTGTCAGTTTCCTCTCTGTTAAATGGAGACCATATCTGCCTTGGCTAACTTGAGAATTGTTGGGAGGAAAATATCTTATGTAAAAAATTGAAAGCGCAAAATAAATGAGAGGTAACACAGCTACTATTGCCACTCTATTTAGTCATAATAGCTGTGACTAAACAAACAAATCTTTCTGCTAATCTGCAACAAAAGGAGGCTTTTATAACTATGTGACAATGTAAATATGGCAATGATTCTACCCTCATTAGATAAAACTTCCACCTCTCAGATCAATACTGGAAATCTGTATAATTTGGTACCTTGATTTGGGCATCTAAACACAGATACTAAACAGAACAGCAGGGGTACTAACCAAGATAAACATCAAACCCTGTCAGGAATAAAATGTTCAGGTCCCAAGAATTTTTCTTCTAACAGAAGCCGATGGGCGAATCACTTACCGGAAAACCTAGAGCCGTCTTCATGAGCACCTCCCTATACCTCCTAGGATATAAAGGTGTCAGCTTGGGCTCAGGGAAAAGAAAATCCCGTGTGTTTTCTTCATAGCAGGCCAACTCATCCCACACTAGAAAGAAAGGAAAAAAAGCATAAATGTCTATATTTACACCTCCAGGCTTAACAAAAAGTTTAGGCAGATGACGGCAGAGATGGCACTCAGGTAAAAATAGACATATGGATCCTACCACCTGTTATTCAAGAGGAGACTAATTTCTACTACTTTTTATCTCATGGACAATTTTTTAAAGCCTTCCCAAGTCATAACAGAGAAAAAAAAAAAGACTAAAGAGTTGTTCCACAAAACAGAATAGGAAAATCTATCTTTCCATCTATTCATCCAATTTTTCCTGCAACAAATATTTACTAATAACCTTAAGCCAGGCACTGGGGATAGAAGAGGAACAAGGTGAACATAGCATTGTTCACACAAAGTTTACAATTTGGACTGGGGTTCAATGTGTTCTGTGATGCATGGATGCCAAGGACCCAGACGACAGCTACAACTGTGGTTCTCAGGAGGGGTACCAACCCCAGGGACATTTTGGACATTTGTGGAAATATTTCAAGGGCAGGAATCAGAGGTGTGAGGGAGTCCTGCAGTGCTCAAGACACTCATGTATATCACGCAATCTCCCCATCCCCAATGACTTTCTAATATCCTACAGACATTCTTGCAAGCTAAAAACTATTTAATTGTCTAAGCCTTAACTTAGAACTAACTAGAACTTAACTAACTCTATGTTACATGTAAACACAAAGCATTTTTATATGATTTATAAATACACTGAATTTTTCCAAGTATCATGTAAATCAAGGAACAATTGTATTTTGTTTTGTTTGAATCTTTAACCAGACCTGTCTGACATTTTGAAAATCATATTCCATCTAAATGCTTTATTATACTTGACACTTAAATATTAACATACACATTTTATTATAAACCACTCTCCTTTTATTTCTCCTTTAAGTTAATCAGAATATTACATCAATATAATCAACTTATTTGTAAAAGTTGATTATATTAACTACAAATATTATTTTTGATATTGCAAAAGGGATACTACAAAATACTCATTACCAAAAGATCTTGGGTCTAATGGGATGGACATTTACTGAGCTGAAGGACAGAAAGCTACCATCTGAGTCATCCTCGATCACACAGCAGGTACCACACAAGTGATGTGGACTGAGAGTGGTCCCTGCAGAGAGGACCATCAAAAAAGCAACTGTAGCCAATGAGGCAGTTTTGCTACTTAGTTACTGGGAAGAATTTTTACTTTGAGAAGAATTCTGAAGAGGGTGGTTTTGTTTTCGGTACGTCAACTGTAGAACATAATTGACCTTACATCAAATAATATGATGCATTAGATTCTTCCTCCTACTAACTCCATTTAATATGAATGTTTGGGTTCTACTGAGGAAAGAATCAAAGTGCAAAAAGAAATTATTTTACATTTTTCATCATAAACAGCATTTCTTTCCACTCTTGTGTTCCCAGCCATGCTCCAGCCACAATTGATTGATGTTCCCTCCTCAGCAACGTACTTCCACCATGCATGCTATTCCTTCTTCTCATCCTGTTGGGACCCTATTAATCTTTAAAGTTTCACTGTAAATATATTACAGTATCTTTCTCTTACAGGTCCAAAGTGGAACTCTTGATTGTTTCCTAAACATAAGTTCTCCCTAGAGGAATGTGCACTAGTTGCTCAAGCTAAAAATAGGATTCATCCTTGATTCTGCTCTTTCTCTCACACCTTACATCAATCCATTAAGTCCTGTTGACTCTTTCCAAAGTAAATCTAAACTCTGTCCCCTTCTCTTCATCTTTACAGCTACTATCAGGTCCAAGCCCCCACCACCTACCTCTCTCCTGCACCACTGCGATGGCCTTAGTTGATCTCCCTGCCTCCATTCTCCTGCACTCAAATCCACTGTCCACCCACTACAATGTTTTAAATACATCAGACTGTGCCTTTCTCCTGCTTAAAACGTTCCAATGGCTTCCCATCATATTAGAACAAAATCTAAGCACCTTACCCTAGACTTCAAGACTCTATATAGTCAGGCTTCTAATAACCTCTCCTAATTCATTTATTGCCACTCTCTTCCTTGATTGCTGTTCCTTGGCATCCTTTACCCTTCTTGCTGTCCTTCAAACACACCAAGCTCACCTCTATGTAAGGCTTTTGCCTTACGTTCTCCTCCCTGTAAGGTTCCCTTCCCAGGTCTTTGCATGGCTGGCTCCTTCTTACTGAATAACAGGCTTGGTTTAAATGTCATCTTATCAGAAGGTGGCAACCCAACCCAAAAGAGCACTCCTTCCCAGGTGCTCCCTATCATATCATGCTATTTTACTTTCATCATAGTATTTACCACTAACTGATATTTTTGTCCATGTGTTTATTCATGATCTGCTTCCATCAATGCTCCATGAAAGCAGTGAATTTGTCTTTTCTGTACATTATTCTACTTCTGGCAGGGCTGTCCCTAGAAAGGTGTGAACTCAGAGCAGTTCAATCAGTACAGGGCCTAGCCAAGACAATCACACCTGAAAAGGGGCTTCACTGTCAGCATCTTCAACAAGCCACTTGAAATATCACTAAAGATAGACATTTTAAAATTGAACTTCAATGATGTTCAGAGACGAGGAGTGAAGTGCAGCATCCTGGATGCTTCCCCTAAACCTGTGGAACACTGCTTGGGACATAACGGGTAACTGATAAATGCTTCTTAAATAAATGAACATGAGGACTAAAGTAAGATAACTTGCTTAAGTGCCAGCTTATGTTAGCACTCAATATGCATTAGTTACCCTCTTTGAGACTCAGTTTCCACACTATTAAAAAAGGGGCGAGGGGTAAAGAGAGACTAAGTATTCTCTAAAAGCTTTTCTTATTCTTACCCTTCATTCATTTTTCAATAATTTATTTTCAGGCCAGGCATGGTGGCTCATGCCTGTCATCCCAGCACTTTGGGAGGCCAAGGCAGGCAGATCACCTAAGGGCAGGAGTTCAAGACCAGCCTGACCAACATGGTGAAACCCCATCTCTGCTAAAAATACAAAAATTAGCTAGGCGTGGTGGTGGGCACCTATAATCCCAACTACTCGGGAGGCTGAGGCAGGAGAATCACTTGAACATGGGAGGCGGAGGTTGCTGTGAGCCAAGATGGCACCATTGCACTCCAGCCTCTTATTTTTTTGCACTCTCAAATAAATAAATAAATTTTAAATCTGTTTTCATTCATACATTCAAAAAATACTTCATTCATTGAGAACCTTCTATGTAACAAGACTTATAGACACTGAATTTATACTAGTGAACAAGATAAATATAATCAATGCCCTCCTGGAGCTTACAGTATGTGAGTATTAAACTATTATACAAATAAATGTGTAATTAAAAAGTATAAGTGCCACAAATGATAAGAAGTAGGTTCTATAAGAGTAAATTACTAGGAATAAAGAGATAGAGAGGGTAGGGAGAAAGGAGGGAAGATGGGTTTCTTTTTTTTTTTTCTGAGACAGAGTCTCACTCTTGTTGCCCAGGCTGGAGTGCAATGGCGTAATCTTGGCTCATACTGCAACCTCCATCTACCAGGTTCAAGTGATTCTCTTGCCTCAGCCTCCCAAGTAGCTGGGATTACAGGCACCCACCACCATTCCCGGCTAATTTTTGTATTTTTAGTAGACATGGGGTTTCACCATGTTGACCAGGCTGGTCTCAAACTCCTGACCTCAGGTGATCTATCTGCCTCAGTCTCCCAAAGTGCTGGGATTACAGACATGAGCCACCACACCCAGCCAATGGGTGTAATTCTAACATCAATTCTTTGCTTCATTTACTAGTCTCATCCTGGCCTTTTCTTCATCAGTGCTCCTTTTAGAATGCTCCCTGTGACGGACATAATCCTCCCGCCTTTGCAGGCCAAAAACAGACTCTGCCTCCATCCAGAAACTCTGAAGTACAATCTGCAAATGGAAAGTGATGTGCCAATTTCCCCAGCTATCACTAGCAATAAAATACAACTTTCTCCTGAAGCCTACAGTATAGAGTTAAGAACTCAAGTTCTAGGGTCAGGCAGGGCTGGTTTCAAACCCCTGCTCCACCACTTACTAACAATGTGATCTTGGGCAAATCATGTAAACTAACTTCAGTCTCCTCTTCAAGAAAATGTAAAAACTGTCATCGTACCTGCCCTTTAGGACTACTGTGAGGATGAATGACAAAGGTATGTAGAGGGCAGAGCACAGCACCTGACATTACCTACCATTACCACAACTGCTCCCTGACATCAGCCCAGCAGTGGCCCCAGAACTGCTCTGGTCTCTGTAAACATCACTATCTTCCTATCAGGAACAAACATCTAGATGCATGATATGATGCTCTACTCAGGATGCCTTTCCTTTTCCCTCTTTCCTTTCATATGCTTTTGGCTAGCTCTTGCCACTGCACCTAAATAACTGCTAAAATATTATTCCTGTGTTTAGCAAGAATTTAGATAAAATTAAGAGGCTGGGAAAATTCAAAGCGAGCTCATACTCCAGTTTTAGAATCACAGGAATAAAAATAGACTGAAACAGGGTTGGACAAATAAATAGAAGGCTATGAAGCTTTTCAAGACAGTCTCTCTGGTATAGTCATTTTCTAGAAATCCAAATTGCTACCCAGTGTGAAAATGTCAGCACAGTAAAAGGATGGTACAGCAAGAGCCTAGGTTATAAATAATAAACATATTTACAGGCTGAACAAGTCTTATAGGTCAAGGGAAGTATCTGAAAGAACTCAGTGCTCTCCTTAAAGAGCTAATTACATTTTGCTCAAAGCTTTAGGAAGAGGGGGAAAAAAGAGCTAATTACACAGACAGTGACATCATCAATGGCATAAATGAATTTCTTCCCCCAAAAGGAAACAAATGAGACTTTAAGAGAAATAACAATTTTAATAACAACATTGACTGGAGGCATATCTAACATTTTTAGTGCATATCGGAATTGACACTGTGCTTCCAGATACAGGATCACATTTGATTCCCTCTTTACAGATAAAGAAACTGAGGCTTGAG